GCGCTCCGGCCGGCCGGGGAGAGCGGGGCCGTGGCTGGGCTCGCCGCCCTCCCCCCGGCGCTCCGGCCGGCCGGGGAGAGCGGGGCCGTGGCTGGGCTCGCCGCCCTCCCCCCGGCGCTCCGGCCGGCCGGGGAGAGCGGGGCCACGGCCGGGCTCGGCGCCCTGCCCTGCTGCACTCCCCGCCGGGGGGCGGGGGGGCGGCGGGAGGCAAAAAAGCCAGAGCCGGCCCTGATTGTGATAGCACCTAGAAGCTCCAGACAGGGGCCAGGACCCCATTGTGCTAGAAGCTGTACAAACGTAGAATAAAAGACAGTCCCTGCCCCAAGAAGTAGGGAGCTCATTATGGGCCTTTTTGAATATGAACATTCTACAGCATAAATCAACATCGCCTCTGGAAAAAAGTAGTGGTTAAATGTTAGTGTGTCCTCTCCTGTATTTGGTGCTATGGGTTCTGATGCTTTTCCAATGTCCAGTTTTGACACTTTCCTCTTTCAGACTGACCTGGTGAACACTATTGGAGAGAGTGCTGCTTTGGGGGCAGCAGGGGTTGTCCTTTGGGGAAGCATGCAGTATGCCAGCTCAAAGGTAGGTGGGGTGGATTTACAAACGTTCACGGGTTAAGTGCTATGTCCTTGATAAGAGCCTCTCTCCCCATCCATCCTCATTTCTACCATTTTACATCCTTACAATGAAGCTCTCCCTCACCCATCATTGTCACCAGCCTTTTGGCTGAAGATGACTGCTTGGGAGTCCTTTCATCTTGTTAACAACATACTTAAATTAGCCACTGCTTCCTAGGAACCACATCCAGGGCCAAACATGGATGACATCCATAGCAGCAGATAGCACTAATACCAAGATAATAAGATATGGTTTGAAACACTGAAATGTAAATGTAAACAGTCTGTTTAGCAGTGTTCTGCTTGCATAATCTGTACATTACCAAACACAAGGCTATGGATTTGGCAGAGGATGAAGTGGGGAACATTTTTCACAGACCAAATGTTGAGCTTTGTCCTAAATTTTATAACAGAGTCATTGGTGGAATATAATCCCAACCTAAGAAAAGTCCTGCTCCTCCTCACAAGACCCTGGGACTCACCTAAAGAAGTCTTACAGACCCCTCTCCTGTAATTACCAAAGGTGACAGAAGGTTGCATTGTCTATCTTTGCAAGGCACCTAATAGGCCAGCTCCCTAGCCTCACTCTTAGAAAGGCTGCAGGTGGAGAAGGCAAGTTGACCTTTGATAGGACATTAGCAATACAGGAAGACGCAACCTCTTTCAGTGTCTGACCCTACTACTATCAAAGTCAATGGCAAAACTCCCATTGACTGCAGTGGTGTGGTATGAACTCCCAAACAAGTTCAGCGGCTTAACGTGGAGCTGAAGAACCCAAAAGCTATTTTTCCACATTGCACACCAGCCAGTGAAAATTGTCTAGTAACTACTAAGTTAAAGGGTTATGGTGATCAGTGTAGAAATCCCTAGTGCTAAAGCAATGTGTCAATAAATATTTTAAACCCCTTTTATTTTAAATCGTTCCTTTTCAACAATCCCTAGAAAACCTTATTTTTAATAAAACATTCAATATGTTGCTACCAGGCACCCAAAACAGAAAAGCAAGATTATAATAAAGGTCAGTATCTTACTGGCCTTCCCATGAATGCAGATTAAGCCAGGGGCTAATCACATGAGTAAAGGCTTCAGGATTTATCTCAGTATATCACTTTAGCCAGCAGTGCTTCCATGTTAATATTCTACCAAAAATATGGAAACTTGGACATAACTCTGGTTACTGATTAACATGTCACACTCTTGTTTTCCTACAGGAGAGCTGTTCAGTTGTGAAAAAATACATAGATGGCCCCTTAGGACATTATGTCATTAATGTCACCTCAGCAGCCAAACTCTGCAGTAAAGTTCTGTGTAAGAAAAATGGGAGATGCATCCGTAAAATCGGTGACTCTTCTGCTTATCTGCACTTGTCACCCAATAGTTTTGAGATTGGGGTCCACCATTCTGAAAAAGGCCCAAGATTCTTTGTGACTGGAAAACTTAGACCAGAAGACATGAAGGCCATGAAGCAGAGCTTCACATGTCAGTGTTACCAAGGCTGGACTGGGATATTTTGTGAACTGCCTGACCGAAGTCTACTTGAACAATGGGCTCACACTCTGTTTAATAGATCAAAAAATAAAATGCTCAACTTTCTCTTATTTGGATCCATGCAGGTTTTTCTGCTTCTCATTATACACTAATGTTTCTTACAAGGAAGCAAGAAACGTTGCAGTTGAGACTTCAGATCTCCTTGCTTAGCAAGTTTCTATTCAGATGGGAAATGGTGTTGCAGACTGTTGCTTTATCTTCATTCTTCTCCATTTAAGTACTAATCCTACTGGGCAAGGCAGCATTTTTACACAGAGTGTTAAGGAGATTTCGAATGCATCTCCCTCTTACTGGCCCCACTCGTACTGTTCTATCTCATTCCTTAATCAGTCAAAACTCTACTGATCCACTGGGAGTTTTGCTCGAGTGAGAACTGAATAAAGCTGGGTAAAGACTTCAGGATTTGTCCCTAGACAAGCAGAAAAAAAAGGATGTAAAGACCATTTATTTCAAAGGCTGGATGATTTAGAACACTTTAATTTTGAGGATCTTCCCATTGACTGGGGTCTAGTCTGTACTACTCCTCTTGTGTTTAAACACCATGAAAGTCAAATGGAGTTTTGGGCGTACAATAATGTAGCATCAGGACTCAAACTGGTTTCAGCTTGTGGATGTCACTGCTTGTATAGCAGCTTCTACATAAAGATTTGAAAGGCACAGGGAATTCTCCATAAACACACACATTAAATATTTGGAATATGAACAGATATACTCAGTTATATTTCGGCTCACACGTTAATTCAGTGAGTATCAACACTTTCTGTGATAGTTTTGTCCTGTTGATTTGCAAGCTGCTGTTTGACTAAAGACTGGGCCTGTCTGCAATTTCTGATAACCCAGTTCGACCTTTGTTACTCATTAAAAAAATTACCTCTAAAATCCATTCAGGTCTGATGTTCTCAGTCTTTGAGAGAGGTGCTGGCACTGGCACTTTATAGGATTCCTGGCAAGGGTAAGCTCCACATGCTCCTTTCCTTCCTCCCTCCTGCAACTTGGAAGGAGACAGTCCCACTCTTTCCTCCTCCTGACTGCTGGGAGGTGGGATGCTCCATTCTCTCCTTCCTTCCAGCCAGGGAGGGTTGTGTGCTCCTCACTGCCTCTTGGGCACTGAATTCCCTACTTTCCACCCTACTCAATCCATGTATAGCTGGTAGAGCACTCCTGTGACTGATGCTCCACTTGCCCTGCCCATCACCAGACTGAGTTAGTGGATTAGTGAGATTCATCAAGAGCACGAAATGGGGAGCAGCCGCCACAGAAACCCTCTGGGAACACACCATCCCCTCTTTCAGGCAGGAGGAAAAAATGGAGCATCCCACCTCCCACAAGCTCTGCCCTGCCTCCCATGTTGAGGACCTTGATATAGGTGGTACGGTCAGCACTTTGTAACCAGATCCTCTTTTAAGTAGGGCTAGTGGAAAGACCTACTGAATAATTACTGGTGAATATAGTATCCAAGAAATGGCCCATCAAACTAGTCCTATTTTTCAATTGAAACTATATTTTAAAACATTAATTTAAAATAAGGCACTGGCCCATTTTCTCACAGGAATGCATATATTTCCCCAAAAATACTACCTTATATACAGTAAGTTTTTTTAAAAGTCATAAATAAATGACTAGATCAAATGGGTGACAAAACCAAGAAAAATTCTCTCTCTCTGAACTGAGTTGCTAGGTACAATATAAAAGTTGTTTTCTCTTGAAACTTGCAAATGATGGGCTGTGTAGAGTACTCGCCTAGAGCAGTGTGCACTGAAATAATGAGAGACCTGTGCTTGGATCTAAGAGAATATGGTATACAATCCTTTACCCTGAGCAATCTGAGAGTTTATACTCATTATTCATGGCCAGATTTTGCCATCCTTACTCACGTTGAGTAGCATCATATTCCAAGAGTAGTTCCATTAAAATCAGTAAGACTACTCTCAGGGGAAGGTGCTACTCAACACAAGTAAGGGTGGCAGAATTTGGCCCTCAGCTAGAGGCCATTCTTGATACTGGACTAAGTCTTACTCAAGTAAGGCAAGTTACTTAAGACATTAATCTGCATATAGCACAATACAATTCTTCTGTATATTTTGTGTTATTTGTACATCCTTAATTTATCCCCAACCATTACTATAAAATAGGAGTCAGATTCCCAGCTGGTGAAAGCTCCGATGCTCAGATTTGCACTAGTTAAAAATCTAGCTCATAACAGAATTGTAATGGATATTTTAAGGTTGCAATGACCAGTTTAAACCAAGACACGTAAGTGGGACTGATTTCAGTTAAATAGAGATCTAGTACAAGCCTTAGTTTTCTGAGTCATCACTGTAATGATATGTTGTGCTGAAATGCAACAATAAAGGTTCGCTACTCAACTTTTACTTTGTATCAGGTAACTGGAATGGCTGACAGCAAATTTGAAGGTAAAAAATCTTTTCTTGGAGGGGTTATTTGTAATTAAAAGGAAAACTTTTAGTACTGTGCCTAGAAGTCATTATATTTTTAAATTTTCGTGTATACTGTTCTTTAGTTCTTTTCATGTTCAGTGTTCGTTGAAGTTAAAAGAAAAGTGAAGCATACATTCAATCCACCTCATTTTAACACAAACATTTGAAACAACAAGCTTAATTTTGTTAAATATGTGTCATAAGTAACAGGTATGCTTTTGGATTTGACATGTCTGTATTGTAGAAGAGTAACCTAATTTGTTTTCATAAGCCACACTGGGGGGTGAAATATAATGTTATTAGGCATATGTTAAGTGTCACATAAATTGTAGTGTTTATTTTTAGCTTATTTCATATTTTATACTGTAAAGTATTTCTTCTATTTATACAGATTTTAAAGAATAAAATACTTAATATACTTAACAATATACACAAGTTATTTGGTAACATAAATGAAACTAAGTGAAATTAACATAAGATCTTCCATGAAAAGAGTGCTGGTACTTTGTGTAACGTTTTATATAAAACAGTATGAACATAGGGGGCCAAATCCCAAAGTTTTAATCCAGGCAAAAATTCCCATTTTAGTCAAAGGGCCATATCCTCATTTGGTGTAAACTGGTATAGTGCCACTGAAGTCCTTGGAAGTACGTCAATTAACATCAGCTGAAGATCTGGCCCAAAGCCCTGTTTCTGCTCTGATTTACCATTTTGACAGCAGTGTAGCTCACTGATTTCATTGAAGTTACATCTGGTTTATATCAGGTTTAGTGAGAGCAGAGTCAGGCTCAATGGAAGGTTTGCCTGGGACTAAGTAAAAGTCTTTAGGGTTTGTCCCATATACTGCTATGAAGTATTATGAGCCAAATTCTTCTAGCAGACGTCGGTTGTGTTCCCTGGTTGTTATCAGCAGAATTTGGCCTGGGATTTTTACTTCTTTAATATCACTAATGGAACTGAACATATAACTGAATGTGATTTTACAGATCTGAATTTTATATTTTGCTTAGTAATCTTAGAGTATTTCCTGGTGTAAGAAGAAGGATTTTATAATTATGAGTCAGTTAGAAAGTGGTTTTCTTTAAGGCAGCAATTCTTAACATGTGGCCCAATTAGCACACAGCTGAGCTGTGTGCTAAAGACTGCAGGCTCCTGGCTGCCCTGCTACGCAGTGAGATCCGGGTTCAGCATGCTCTGGGTCAGGGTCCTGGCTCCCCCCCCATCCTTGCACGGCAGGGGTCGGGTTGGGGGTCTCCACACAGCGGGGGGGTCAGAGGTCCCCGTACCGCAGTGTCCAGGTCAAGGTCCCTGTCGCACGCCCAGTTCTCCACTCCTATCCCCACTCTGTGAAGAGGTCTCTGGGAGGAGGCCGCTGAGCACTGGAGTTTGAGAGCGGGGTTTAGGCTGCATATGTGGCCTGCAATGATAAATAGGTTGAGAATAAACAGTTACCTTTTCTGTAACTGGTGTTCTGGTGTTCTTCGAGATGTGTTGCTCATGTCTATTCCATAAAAGGTGTGCGTGCTCACCACATGCACCGGTGCCAGAAATTTCCCCCCCAGCAGTATCCGTAGGGGGGAGCACCCCCCACGACCCCTGGAGTGGCGCCTGCCTGGCGCGGTACAAGGGGAGCTGCGCGCTCCCCCCACCCTCAGTTCGTTCTTGCCAGACAACTCCGACAGAGGGGAAGGAAGGTGGGATGTGGAATAGACACGAGCAACACATCTCGAAGAACACCAGTTATGGAAAAGGTAACTGTTTTTTCTTCTTCAAGTGATTGTTCATGTGTTTTCCACAATAGGTGATTCCAAGCTATATCTGTAGGAGTTCACTGAGTCAATGAGACCTTTCAGGTCTCGAACAGTTCTGGGGCAGAGCTACAGCAAAGCTGGAGCAGAGCAGTTCCGATGCACCTTCACTGGCGGCAAGAAGGAACTGAGGGTGGGGGGAGCGCGCAGCTCCTCTTATACTGCACCAGGCAGGTGCCACTCCTAGGGTTGTGGGGGGCACTCCCCCCTACAGGTTCTGCTGGGGAAAAAGCTTCCGGCACCGGTGCACATGGCGAGCACGCACACCTATTGTGGAATACACATGAGCAATCACTCGAAGAACCACCACTGCTTTAAGGTGCTCTGTTACTATTGTGACAGATCTTAGCAAGAGCCACTTCCTGGCCATGCACTAGGACTGCTGTGAAGGGAATCTAAACCTCTGTGCTCTGGATTCCATGGGTTGTGTTAAGCTTCTGGAGCCCAGCCACCTCCCCAATCTCTGGCTCACTAGGCACACTCTCAGGTGCAGATCTTCTATCTGGCACCCCCCTCCAAGTATTGGAACCCACTGTCCAGCCGCCTAGCCCCTCTGGATGCAGTGCGGGCCCCTCACTCCTGAATACTTAAACACACCCCTCTCCCAGAACTCCACCCAACAGGTGTGAAGCTTTTGGTTTGCAGTTAAATTCTCTCAGAGGCATGCAGTAGTTGTGAAGCAGGCAACACACACACACTTTGTTCAATCAACTTTATGCTCTTTATATTCAATCATGTAAAGCACAGGAGAGTACAGATCACACAAAAGAATAGAACATCATAAATACAATGTCCTTCACTAGTTTACCCTTCCATTGGGTCACCCGCTTCCTTTGTTCTCCTCCTGATAACTTTCCATTACTTCCAACCCTGCTCCCTTCAGACAAGAGGAGGGAGTGTCTTCTCCTGGCTACAGCAAACCCATTGTCTCAAGGTGTTTTACTTTGAATAGACAATCGTTGAGTGCTGATCAGCCACAGTTGTCTCTGGCCTGGCAGAGACCTGATACAACCCTGATAACTCATTGTGGCTCCACATACATATAGGCTTTTTCCATGAGACAATAACTTCATGATCTAATTTCATAAAATTATCCACAATTCAGAAGTGGGACAGACAGAACCTCCAGTTCATCACAACTATAACAACCCTAATATGTCCATAAGAGGCCACAGAGCATTAGGTGTATTATTGTACTTTTTCATTGAAAGCTGTGACCATAATGGCCTATAATGTGGCATTTAGCCACTGCCATTGTCCCCTACTTAGCAGTGAGGAGCTTGGCCAGTGGCCCGGTGCACAGCGGGACTATATAGCTCATATCACCCTGTAGGTGCAGCCAGCCAACTCCCATAGAAAAGGCTGGTATAGAGGGAGGTGAAGCCAACACCCCCTCTTCTTCCTTCTCTCCTCTTTTGCGCTGCTAACTGAGTGGTTACTGAACTTCAAGTGCAGGGACCACATCTATTGAACTTTCCTGCTTGTCAGAGTCTGGCTGTTAAAGGGTGGGAAGGATGGGTTTTTTGGCCATAAGCATCTACACGTTCTTTTATTTCCAACTGACATTAAATTAATGTGAATCTTGATAGGTTTTGAGGCCCAGACCCTCAAAGGTATTTAGAGACCTACCTCCCCATTGAAATATAGGGGCTTAAAACTAACTAACTAAAAATGTAAACCTTCTTTGAAGTTTAAAGATATTTGGTTAATGTTTTTGCCCTGTTATGCATGCCTCTGTCTTTGCTGATACTGGTAGGACCAGATGCAGACATACCATGTAAATAGCCTTTCTTGCAAAAACCCAGCCACCTGGAGATATAGGGGCATATCACCTCACCATTTTTTATTAGTTCATTGATGTCCAACAACGTGGTTGCGATCTGCGCGTTATCACTCATGTATCAACCTACCAGTATTTGTTCTGTATGGTTGCACTACTGCCTTCTTGCCATACTTCTGATCAAGCCAGAATCCAGGTACTAGTGTACAAATAATAAACAGGAAGTAGTGAGATCTCACAAGCCAGTCAAATCACAGCTTTCAGCCAAGCCAGTTTACACCACCATAATTGTTATGGTGGGAATCACCAGATGGTGCTGTTGTACATAGTCTTACAAGTTCTTTTTCTTAGCATGTGCACACTGTTCAGTCTTTGAAGAAATGCTTCATTGTTGTTAGTGGTATGGTGTGGTATGTCCTGGCAAGCAGCAGGACAATTTCCTCTATGCTTAATCTTGCTAACTAAATTCTTTAGGCACAATTTCTCCCTGGGATCTGGGCACTGGTGTTTTGGCTGAGATTTCTGAAAAAGGGAATTTTCTGCTGCCCATGTGTGACCACCTCTGTTCCAGGACTGGTATCTATAGTGTGTAATAAACAAGTTTCACAATGAATATACACAGACTACATGTCACTGATTTCTCTTCCAACAGGAAGCTGATCTGCAAGGCCCTGACATCTACTACCCCACAACAAAGGGATAGCAATACCATCACAACTGCATATTCAGATTACATGTTTGTTCTCCTGGTACACTTGCATTTTAACTAGTTTTCTCAAATTGTAAAATTCAGAAAAATGTTTTGTTTATTTCCTCCCCCTGTCTTTTTGATTAGCTGTAGCTGTGGCACCTAAGCAACAAAAATGTTTGTTATCCAGTCTTCTATTCCATTGCTGATGGGTTTTTCTTCAAGCACTGAACAGTTCTAGGCCCGGTCCTGCATTTCTTGTGCCCCCAAAACTGAAGTAAAGATAAACAAAATCATCACCCACAAACAGGAAGGGGTAGAACAGAAGTAATACAAACTGGAGACCCAGTTTCTTGCATCCAAAACTTTCATTGAGGTCAACAGAGTGACCCCAGGGATGAATTTGTCCCACTATGTTTTTTTCCAGTGCTATAAACTGCCTCTTTTCCATGTCTGGAGGTGACTTACCTCAAAACCATGAAGTCTGAATTGTTATTACGGTTGTTTGTGTCGTAAGCATGAAAAGTAAATTCATTTTAGCCAGCTGATTTGATAATGTGGGGTTGTGTGCTTTGCTCAAGCTACGAATGTAAAGTAAGTAGTGGAGCTGTGAGAAGGTTTAAAAATGGTCAGGTAAGTCCCCTTTTAAAGTCCAAATTTAATGGGCCAGAGATTAGAGTGGCTTGTTTGAATTTAACAGTATGACTATTTTTACATTTTACCCACTTTTTCCTCATTGCTGAGGTGTGTAGATATTAAGGGGAGGAAAATAGGAATAATGTGGTTAGAGAACAGAAGGAGATCTAAAAGAAAACAAAAATGAGAATAAAATGGAATGAATGCTCAGATCAGTTATGAATCATGACACTGTACATGCAAGTAAGTGTGTCTGCGAGAAATTTTTATTTAATAATCCCTAGTAAAAAGAAGTTATAGTGCTCATTAAATGTAAACTGTATTTCAAATAAGCATATTAAAAATGCACTAGTTTTTTTCTGAG